CGCTCCCTCCACCAGCTCGGTTGATGCGCCCCTCCAGCTCCGTGTGCTGCAAGGAGGGGTGGAAAGAAAGAAAAGTGAGGAAGGAGTGTGGGAGGGCGCTGGGAGGAGGGGGACGGGACTGGGGGTCGGGCAAGGAGGCAGGGGGGTGACCACGCCGGCGCGGGATGGGCTGCCAGGCAGGGGCAGGGGGGGCTTGGAGGCCGGGTCCAACAGCAGGGACTCAGGCCCAGGAAGGGGAACCAGCAGCCACACGCACGCAAGCAGGCAGCAGCCCACACAGGCAGGCAGAAGCCCACACAACCAAGCAGCAGCCCATACAAGCAGTCGGGAGGCTGGCGGCGGAGGCAGCGCGCCGGCGGCGGCCGATGCGCCAGGCCCGCAACACACACTGCCCGCCCCGCGGCGCCGCACCTGGCCCAGCAGCCTCTGGCGGGTCGCCTGCACCTCCAGGGCCCGGGCCGGCAGCTGCTTGAGGCGCGGCAGCAGCAGCGCGTTGCCGGCCACGCCTGCGGGGCGACGCGGGCGGGGAGAGGGGTGGCGCAGGGAGGCCGGCGTGGAGTGGGGCTCAGCATGCCGACGCACACAAGTCGCGAACACCTGCTGGCTTGACAGCCCCAAAACAGCCCCGCCACTCCTCAGCCCCCGGCCCAGGCCGCCCACTCCTCCGCACGACCCGCCTCACACAGGGCCGCCCAGCTACACTACACCCGCGCTGCAGGCGCGCCCACCTGACGCGACCGTCGCAACCACCGCGCCCGCCGCAATCAGTGGCAGCGCAGGGTCGATCAGGCTGGTGGCCGCATCCCCCGCGCTCAGCACCACCGCCGCAGGCAGCGCCCAGCTGGGCAGGCCGCCGCTGGCGCCGGGCCCCGGCGGCCGCAGCAGCGCACACTCGCTGCGCGTGGTGTGGTTGCTCAGAGACAGCGCCTCGCCTGCGAGGAGCAGGTGTGGAGCAGGGTCAGGGGGTCGCCAGGCGGAGCCACACTGGGCGCGGAGCCGGCACGCGGGGGGCAGGTCGGAACTTGCACAGGGCTGGTGCACCAGGGCTGGAGGAGCGAATCTTGGCTGGAGGCTCCCACTCCCACGCACGTCCACGCAGCCAGCCACACGCCCCCACCTGGCTTGGTGCCGTGCGGCGCCGCGCTGAGCAGCCGCCGCTGGGCCAGCAGGGAGCGCTGCGGGGCGCACACCACCGTCACTCGGTCGCCGACCTTGGCGGGAACGTCGGCGGTGGGGGTGCCCACTCTGCACAAGGGGGACGAAGGCAGGCAGGTAGGCAGGCGGGCAGCGTCAGCAGCCAGCGCACCAGCACCGCAGCCAGGGCTGCCACAGGCCCTGTCAATTACAGCGCCGCAGCGCGCACGGCGCCCACGCCGCGGCCCTGGACAGCGCCCGCCGGCCCCAGCCCCCGCACCTAAACGTGCGCTGCTGCCCCGAGGGCGTCTCAATCAGCAGCGTGTGCGCGGCTCCCACCGCGGGGCGCCGCAGCAGGCCCACGCGCCGCGCCGCCGCCAGCAGCCAGTTCTGGTCTGCGGCGCAGCACAGGGCGGATGGCAGGGTGGATGGCAGAGTTGTTCGGCCGCAGTCGCGCCTGCAAGCCTGCCCGCCGTGCCTGCGCCCAAGCCAGGCATGCACGAGCGCCGTCCCTGCACCCCCGGCACCCCTGCCATGCCGCCAATGCCACCCATTCCCGCCCCAGCGCCGCTCACCCGACACAAGGGACTCGGAGGTGGCTGCCGCCACTTGGCCGGAGAACAGCTCGTACTCGTACCTGCGGTACCATGGGGTGGTGCCATGGGGCAGTGCCAGAAACCCGCGCCGGTGAGGAGCGGAGCCGACGAGGCACGGGCAGCGCGCCTCGGGTGGCAGGCAACACCAGGGGGCCCAGTGGGCGGCCGCCGCAGGCTGCATGCCAGCTGGCTGTGCCCGCTGCCAACACAGACGCACGCACGCACACAACACAGGCGCACACATGCACATACACAACACAGACAAACACATGCACCCACGACACAAGCCAGGCACACTCTTACAGCTCATAGCCCACCTGCTGAACGAGTCTGCCACCGTCTTGACTCCCTCCTGAGGCTGCACCACAGCCAGCGGCTTGGTGCTGCGGCAGGCAGGGACAGGAAGGAAGGGGCAGGCGACAGGAGGGGCGTGAGCGGCGGCACGGCGGCTGACAGCCCAGCTCCAGCAGCAGGCAGCCCACAGGGACAGCCGAGGCCGGGAAGAGGCGGGGCGGTGCCGCCAGTTGCCGGCGCCCCTCTCATCGCCCGCCGGCAGCTCTCCCAGCGCGGCCGCCGCGCCGCCAGCCACCCTCCCCGGCAGCGCACGCGTGCGCTGCAACAGCAGCGGGCGGCAGCCTCACCCGTCCTGCGGGCACCCCACGACGTGCCCAAAGCACACGTCTTCTGTCGATGCCAGGCCGCGGCTGCGGACAGAGTTGATCAGCGCGATGGCTTCCCGCGTGAGCAGCACCCGCGACAGCCCCACCACCAGCGCCGCCGCCGTCTGGATGGAGGCTGGCGGCCAGGCCAGGCCGGGGCCGCCGCCGCCGCCGGCCGCGTCGCCGTCGAGGGACGCGAGGAGGGAGGAGGCGCTGCCGCTGCCGGCTGCCGCCGCGGAGCTCATGGCGCGAAACACGGACAGTGCCAGCGCCGAGTTGCCGCGGTCCAGGGCCGCCAGCAGCAGCTCGCGGCACTGCCCCTCCTCCAGCCGAGGCTGGGCGGCGCCGGGGAAGCCGCTGCAGCAGAGCTCGGAGCACAGCAGGTCGAGGGCTTCGTTGGCGTCTGCCGCCGCGGTCACCTTGCGCAGCGCGGCAGGGTTGATCCAAGGCTGCGCGCTGTGGCCCGCCGGCGCCGCGCCCGCCGCTTCCGCTGCTCCCGCCGCCGCCGCCGCCGCGAGCCGCCGCCGCGGGCCGCCACACCGCCGCCGCCGCCGCCACTGCTGCTGCTGCTGCTGGCGCTGCGGCAGGACACGTGGCTGCGATCCTGGGGCCGCCTGGGCAGGCCGCAGGGCTGCTAGAGAGGGCGTTGTGGGCACCGACAGCAGAGCAATCGCCATCTTTAAGGCGGCAACGCTGCAGCGGGGCCGATCGCCAGCGCAGCCCCAGGCTGCAATTCGGTACGGCGGGCAGCGGGAAGGGAACGACAACTTGAACACTTTCGGCGGTTTTCCCGAACGGGGCCTCCCTGTCACCGATGGCCACAGATGCGATCTGCACACAGTGCTGGCGTCTTTGGGATGCTGAGGGCAGGGATAGCAGCAAATCCTGGCCAGCTCAGCCGGGGGAGGAAAACGCAAGAAACGCCGCCCACGGGGAGCAATTTGCGGCGATCGCGGGCCTCCCTCGTCCGGGAGCGCTTGCAACGCTCCACCTCTGCTGCCGTCAACATGCCGCCGAATGTCGGAGAGCTCCGACAGCTCTGCAAGCTCTTGCAGCTCTGCAACCTGCGGGGATCGCCACAGGCTACTGCTTTTATCGTGACCACAGCTGGGCAGTCACACAAGATGTGGCTGGTGCCGCCGCCAACGTATTGAGCGGCGCCAGGAAGGGCGGTGTGGTTGCTGCTGAGTCTGCACTTACAAGTCATCCACTAGAACCAAAACGCATGCACAGAATGCACTTTCACGGCCGTTCCTGTTGACTCTGGAGCTGGATCTCACAGCAGCCTGCTGCTTGCCATCTAGGGCTCCGGGCTCGCCAGCCTGCCGGCGTGGCGGCGCTGCCGCAACGCAGCCAGGTGAGCGAGGGACCAGAGTGCCAGGCACCACGCCAGCCCCGCAATCATGCTCACTGCAAGGAGACGGCAGGCAGCGTGCCTTGGGTCGTGGTGCCTCCCAGCAGCGGGGCACTCTCGAGCCACTCCCACCACTCTCACCCTGTCGCCATTTGCTCCCACCACTCTTCAGTCTGTCGCCATTCGCGCTGCGGTCACTCACCAGCTGCCGTCAGCGCGGCGGTGCAGCGGTTGAGCAGCAGGCGGTTGGCGGGGAGCAGGAGCAGGGCGGCCAGGTAGGCTGCCGCCACGCGCAGCGGCTGCACAGCAGGGGTCGAGCAAGGCGCAGGGTGCTTTGGCTTTCATCAGTGCCGCGCACGTCTGCAACCACTGCACCAACCAGCGCATAAAGTGCATTGGAGGGATCCATGCGCAGCAGGGCACAGCAGGCAGCATGCCGGCATGGCACACGCCCAGCACACACCCGCGGGACCAGACGCGCAAGCAGGCCCCCGCTGCAGCCCCCGCCAGGCGCTGCCCGCAGGTACACGCCCTCGGGCACCACGGCAGGGTCTGTCTGCATGGCGGCAGACGCTGCCGAGCCAGGCCGGAGGAGGCTGGCGGGCTTCTCCAGCATGGCAGTGCCGCCAGTGCTGGTCCCGCCGGGAACTGCTGGCTCGACTGGCTCTGCAGCAACCCAGAGCTGTGCCGCGTGGGTTGTCAGGCCGGCCCCAGAGCTCTCCCAGGCGAACAGCGCTCCGGGAACGGCGGCAGGCACGGCGGCTGTACCCCCGCCGCCAGCCTGCTCCTCAGGCCCGCCCAGCCACCCCCCTGCCGGGTGGTCAGCTGGCTGTGGCGTGTGGATGCCAGCCGGCGCCTCGGCGCGCTCCTCCTGTAATGCCGCCGCTGGCGCTGCTTCCGCACCAGGCTTGTCTGCTGGCTCTGTAGGAATCCCTGCCAGGCTGTTGAGGCGGAGGTGGAAGCTGGAAAGCAGGCTGTTGAAGCGCTCTGCCACATCCAGCCTCTGCCTCCCGCCCTGCTCCCCCACCAGGGCCTGGCTGCCGCTGCTGCAAGCTGCCGCCGCCGCTGCTGCTGCGCCGACGGATGGGGTGGCCAGCGGCTGCTGCTGCAGAATGGCATCCTGGACTGGCAGTGGGCTCGGCGGCGCAGCCGGCCACTCATCGTTGCAAGGAGGGGAGGCGGGCCGCGCCGAGGGCTGGGCAAAGGGCGAGCCGAGAGCGTCTGGCTCCGCCGCCAGCTGGGCGCCCGCTGGCGCCACGTCAGCGCCCGCCGCCTCGCTGGCATCTGGTCCTACGGCGGAGCTGAAGCGCCGGCTGAGCTCCTCCATGCGCTCTCGCAGGCTGCTGGGCTGCAGGCGGGGGCAGAGTGGGTAGCTCTTTAGCAAGGACTGCATCCAGCCTGGCCCGGAGGGCCTCGGCGGCAGCGACATGCATGAGCCGCCAGCATAGGGGCCACAAACAGGCTTGAGCACACGATTCCCCGCAGCAGTGCGAAGATCGGCGCCCCACCCACCCTGCGCTGTGACAGCTGGCGGCCCAGCTCCCGCCGCTCGCCCTGGGGTGTCGCTTGTGTGGCTGCTTCCAGCTGGCGCCATGCCTCCAGCAGCCCTCCCTGCTGAGGCCCCTCGCCGGCGGCGGGAGCGGGCATGGGGAAGCGCAGCGCTGCAGGCACAGGCAGGAGGAGAGAGGCAGGAGGCCGGTAGTCAAGATGCGGAGGGGCACAGCAAACGCAGAGTGGAGGCAGGCAGGGTAGAGGGAGATGTGGGGGTGCACAGAGGGAGATATGGGGGGGCACGTGCGCACGCCGCACCAGCTGTGGCTCTCTGCTCCGCCTCGAGAAGCTTCGTCCACAGCTCTCCCAGCCGCATGCGCTGCAGGGGTGCACAGGAAGCTTAAGGTGCACTGCAACTGCGGCCGGAGATGCGGCAACAAAAGCGTTCCCTCGCTGCACGCGCGGCGGCAGCGGCGGCGGCGGCGTGCGGCAGCGGCCTCACCCCGCCGCCGCCTTCCTCGGCAGCTGACAGCCGCGCCAGCAGGTTGCGCGTGCTGTCTGCCTCGCTGATGGCTGCCAGGACCAGGTCCTGGGGCAGAGGGAGAGGAGGGGCAGGGATGGCAGGAAGGTGGGCGGAAGGTGGGGGCTGGGATACCGGCGAGGGCCCTCCCGGGACACCCGGTCCTTTGTGGCTCTTGCTGGCAGCTGCAGGGCGTGCGCACTTAGCCCCGAGTATCCCACACCACCACACCCCAGCCCCAGGCCAGACACGGCTGGCAGCCTGGCGGCTCATGAGCCCCCACCTCCAGCTCCCCCACAAGCTTCCTCAGGTGCTGCCGCTCCTGCCACGCCGCACGCCGCCCCGCGCCGCACGCCGCCGCCGCCTGCTCCGCCGCGCGCCGCCCGCGCCGCTCCGCCTCCAGCAGCGAGCGCAGCTGGGCGGCGGCGGCGGCAGAGGCGGCGGCCTGGTCGCACAGGGCATCCACTCGGGCCTGCAGGGAGGGCCGGCAGGCAGCCCAGGAGGCACAGAGCCCTTGCCAGTGACAGTCATCCGGGAGCAGGCTGGGGGGTGGCTTGTTGCCATCTTGATCCGTCTCCCCAGCGTTTCGACGGGGGGGGGTCCGCTCTACTCCCCCGTCGAAGGCACACAGGCACGGGGATGCAACCGCACCTGCAGCTCTGCGCAGTAGTGCAGCAGCTGCCGGGTAGCTGCCGGCGGGCCCCACCCCTCGCTGGCGCCGCCGGCAGCAAGACTGCCAGCGGCAGGACCGCTGTCGCTAGCAGCGCCGGCACCCAGGTCGGTTGCCAGGCTGCTGAGGCCCCCCAGCAGCTGCTGCATGCTGGGCTGGGCCGCCCCGGCGGGCAGCGGCAGGCCGGCAGGCGGCGCCGGCGGCGGGTCCCGGGCCACCGCCGCCGCCTCGGTGCAGCCCTCGCCCAGCGTTGAGCCGGCCCCAGCCTGGGCGCGCGCCCCAGGGCCGGGGTGGTGGTGGGAGGGCAGGCGGTGCTCGGCGCTGTGCAGGCGGCGCAGCAGGGCGCCACGCTCCCGCTGCGCCCCCGCCAGCTCAGCCGCCAGCTCAGCCGCCGCCTGCTGCGAGGCAGCCAGCGCCAGCACCAGCTGCTGCGCGCCGGTGGACTGGACTTCACCGGCAGCAGCCGCGTCGGCCGCGGCCTGCTGCTCAGCCCGCGGCAGGCGCAGCCCGCCGAACGGGAGCAGCGAGGCTGCTGCACTGCCGGCGGCGCCGCCGCCGCTCGCCATCGCGGCGTGCGTGGCGGCTGTCGCCGCCTTGGCCGCAGCCGCCACCCCGCCGGGCTCCAGCTGGCTCAGGTCCAGGTGCCACACAAAGTCGGCCAGGCCCGCGTAGCGGCCCTGCAGGGCAGGGCAGGAGGGAGGCGTGCCTGTGGGGCACAGGCACTGCCACCTTCACCCTCGGCACAGCTAAAGGTGAAGGGAGAACCTCCGCAGGCCCTGGTTCCCCATGGGGTGCGGCAGCACGCCGCCAAGTTGTATCGGGAAGAGCGGGCGGGGGAGCGGGGCGTGCCTGCACCCTGAGCAACTTGCTTTGAAGCGTCCGCAGCTGCCCCAGCAGCCTCAGAGCGGCAGCTCCGAGCGTGACCGGCGGCGGCAGCAGCGGCGGCAGCCCACCTGCAGCGCCTGCAGCTGGTCAGCCAGCGCGGTGCGCTGCCGCCACGCCGCCTCCGCCTCGCCCACGGCGGCGTTGTGCTGCTCCTGCACCTCGCACAGCAGCTGCTGGGCCGCCGCCCGCGCCGCCTGCTCCACCTGCGTGGCGGTGCAGGGGGCGGGTGGTGGCGTTGGGACTAGGGGAGCGCCGCTGCGCATGCGGGCAGCCCAGGCTCCGACTCGGAGCCCCAGGCAAGTGTAAGGTCAAGGTGGGAAAGAACCTGCCAGACCAGGCGGCCTCCCCCCCACCTGCAACCTTCGCCACAGGTCCTCTGCTCTCTGCCGCATCTCGGCAGCGTGCTCGGCTTCGGCACCCTGATCAGCAGCAGGCGCTGCGCGAGGGGCACCCCGCCCGGCCAGCTCCGCAGGCGGTGGCGGTGGCCGCCGCCGCTCGGCGCTGCGGGGCGCTCTTTCGGCGCAGGCCTCGGCAGCAGCCTGCACCTCCTGCTGCTGGCGCCCTGCGCTCGTCATACACACCTCCCTGGCTGCTGGGGCGGGCGCCCCGGCTGCTCCAGCAGCAAACTGGCAGCCACGGCCGCTGCTGGCATCTGCTGGTGCGCCCTGGTGCCCCGTGCTCGACTGCGTGCTTGAAGTGAGGAGAAGGAGGCTCTGGGAGCGTTCCAAGGCTGTGGGGAGCCAGGAAGAAAGCGGGAATATTGATGGACCGTGGACCTTCTTATGGCGGCAAAATTCGCTCAGCAGGTGCAGCTGCGGTTGCGCTGCTTCCCTTCAGCAAGGGCAGCCAACGCAACCTGGCTGCTCAGGCGGCCGCCCGCCTCCTCCAGCACACGCTGCACCCCCGCAAGCTCCACCTCTCACCTCCTGCCAGCACTCTCCGCTGGTAGGTGTCACCAGCGGACGTTGGCCTCCGCTCACCCTGCTGCGGCGTGTGCGTGCTCGGCGGCGTGTGCGCAGCGGATGTGGCGGATCATCCACATGAGATGGCGAAGCAGCACCGACCCGAGCTGGCCGTGTGCACCGTGGCCAGCCATGCCCCCCGTCCAGTCTGCTATAAATCCACACACCCGCTGCTTCCTCCTACCCTGTCAACCCCTCCGCTGGGCCAAGTCCACCACCCGTCTGGGTTGGGGCCGCTGCCGCAGCGGCGCCAGCGCTCACCACGCAGCGCGCCCCGCACACCACCGCCATAACGCTGCTCGACAGGCTGCATCCCCGTGCCGCCTGCCTGCCAGTCGACATGTGCCGACCCAGGCTGGGGCGCCAATTGGCAAGGGCTACCGCTGTTGCTGGTGGTGGCAGCAGCCTTGCCGCCTGGGCGGGCGTGCGGTGCAGGGTCGCGCTCCGCGGCGGCACCAGCAGCGGCCCAGGCAAGGGTGCGGGTCAATGCGGGTCGAAGGGGGCATGAGGATGGGCTTGGAGGTAAGGTAGGGGCAGGATAAGCGGAGAACCCGTTCGCCATCAAGGGGGGCTGTTATCGGTCTGATCTGAGTACTGCACGTGGGACGGGGGCTTGCCGACGTGCCTTGCATCCTTAAGGGGCCGCGAAACCCACTAAGCACATACTCAGGTGTTCAATGGCAGCGAGATCTTCAATAAATACTAACTGTGGGCGAAGAAAACCCCTTATGTGTCTAAGGAAGTTGAGGGGCAGCTGTGCCTCGCCGCCATGCAAGGACTTTTGCGTCCTTCGACGTACACCATCCACTACTCAATCTCCCTTCCCACGAGGCCTCCGCACTCCAGTTGAGCAGCGGTGACCGCCTGCAAGCGTCCCCAACAGCGCCCCGCCGTCACCCGCCCACACCCACCACGATGCGGCTCCACCTCGCGTCGCTGGCCCTCCTGCTGGCCTGCGCGACCTGTGCAAGTGAGTGAGGCACCGGGTCACGGCCTCAGCCGCCGGGAAACCCGCGCATCGTGGCGGACAGGGCGGGTGGCAGCCGGCCGCGTCCTTTACCGACCCGCTCATGCTTGTGCCTCTGCAGGCGCCGCTCCACGCCCCTTCAACGCCCTGGGCATGGGGAGGAGGCTGCAGGGTGAGTGGCAGCGCCTGCTGGGGTGCGGGAAGGGCAGCTGCTGGGTGGCGCTCCAGCACCGCTGTGCGGCGCCGCCATCACCAACCCGCAGCCTCCTTTGTGTCAGCCGGCCAGCCGGGGCAGCGCCCCTGGCAGCCGACCGGCCTTGCATGGCATGCTGCCACCCTGCGCGCCGCTGGGCCGGCGGGCGCCGCTGGGACCCTGCCGCGCGGGCCGCCAGCTGGCACATCCGCTCCCTCCATTTCCCAGCTCACCTCCCCCTGCCTGCCCCCGCCCCCCACCCCGCCCTGCCCGCCCTGCAGCAACCTCCCTCACCTGCGCCAACCTGACCACCTGCGTCACCGCCACCCAGACCTGCACCCCCGGCAGCCCCACCAAGACCGTCACCGTCAGCCTGGGCTGCAAGAGCGGCGACACCTGGTCCTGGATGTGCTGCCGCGACGCGGGCTGCGACCTGGTGGCCAACTCCTGCAAGGCCAGCAACGCCGGCGCCACCGAGGACCTGGTCAACGACAACTGCGAGGAGCTGCGCGCCGCCACATACACCCTCGCCACCGCCGCCACCTCCCTCACCCTCCAGATCCACGACGGCCAGCTGACGGGCAGCATCGCCTGCGGTGGCGGCGCCAAGGGCAAGGACAAGCTGTGCTGCGGCGGCGACGAGGCCTGCACCCACACCATCACCCTCACTGCCTGCCGCGACCCGCCCGTCAGCACCGCCGAGTGCACCACCAGCGCCAACTGCGCCGGCAGGACCGACCTGAACACCGCCTGCGGTGTGGCCGCCTGCAACACCACCAGCGGCAAGTGCTACAGCAACCCCGTGCCCAAGGCTGGCACCACCTGCCGCGCCTCCGCCGGTACGTGCTGCTGCTGCTGCTGGGAGCTGCTGCTGCTGGGCACTGGGCATGGATGGGGGATGCTTGGGGTGTGCTGCCTGCCTCACAGCCCAAAACCGACGAGTCAAGAGATTGGGCGGGCACCTGGCTGGCTGGCGGGATGTCTGATGCCTTGCGCGCCATGCATCTGCCCCAACCCGCAGGCGCGTGTGATGAGCCCGAAACGTGTGATGGGCTTTCTCCGACCTGCCCTGAGGATGCGTTCACGCCCGCCACCACCGAGTGCCGCGCCTCGGCTGGCGTCTGCGATGTGGCAGAGAACTGCCCCGGCGACGCGGCAGCCTGCCCCACCGATGTGTTCAAGCCCGCCACCACCGAGTGCCGCGCCTCGGCTGGCGTCTGCGATGTGGCAGAGAACTGCCCCGGCGACGCGGCAGCCTGCCCCACCGATGTGTTCAAGCCCGCCACCACCGAGTGCCGCGCCTCGGCTGGCGTCTGCGATGTGGCAGAGAACTGCCCCGGCGACGCGGCAGCCTGCCCCACCGATGTGTTCAAGCCCGCCACCACCGAGTGCCGCGCCTCGGCTGGCGTCTGCGATGTGGCAGAGAACTGCCCCGGCAACGTGGCAGCCTGCCCCACCGATGTGTTCAAGCCCGCCACCACCGAGTGCCGCGCCTCGGCTGGCGTCTGCGATGAGGCCGAGAACTGCCCTGGCAACGCGGCAACCTGCCCTGAGGATGCGTTCAAGCCCGCCACCCACACCTGCCGCGCGGCGGTCAATGCATGGTGGGTAGTGCCCGCGCCCCGCCTGCACAGCCATGCCGCCAGCGGGATGCCTGTTGCCGCACACGGTCGCCATTGTGCCTTACCCATTCCTTGCCTTCCTTCCGCTGCCTGCAGCGATAAGGCCGAGCTGTGCACCGGTTCTTCTGTCAGCTGCCCCGATGATAAGGTGCTGCGCGACCGCGCCAAGGGCTTCAAGTGCGGCAAGACCTGCTTCTTCTGCGGCATTCCCGAGGAGCTGACCTTTGAGCAGAAGAAGAATGACCTCACCAAGCCCACCAAGACCACCACCGGCCTGGGCTCCTGCAACATGGGCGCCTGCGAGGATTTCATCTTCTTGCCGGCAAGCAGCCCCTACTGCACCGGCTGCGTCCAGACCACGTGCCCGCCCAACCTCGCCGGCAAGAGGCAGGGGCTGAGCAACATTGAGCATGCCCAGTGCATCAGCAGCGACGCCACCAACTGGCGGTGGAACTGCGTGAACAAGCAGGAGGGCACCTTCACCGGGGAAGTCTGCCCGCAGCGGAGCTGGTATGCTTGAGCTGCAAGCATGCCTGCCCGTGCCATTTTTAACTCGTGACCCTTGCTTAGTTATCTGTCAGTTACTGTGCCCTCAGGCCCCCGCCATGTTTTTCCTGAGAAAGCGCCCTGCCGTTGAGGGACCAACCCTCACCCATCTGCATAAATTTTCTCTCCCCAATAATTTTTCTCTCCCCCATACCCCTTTTCACCCTCCCCCCCCCCCCCCCCGAACTCCATAATCTCGCACATCGTCCCGCAGATCATTCCCATCGTTCCCCTTCATCTGTTCGCCCATGGCCTGCACCGCCTCACTCTCGCTGCTCCCCCTTCACGTCCTCTTTGTCCCCGTTTTCCCTATTTCACTATTTATTGATGTCAACAAATGATTTATGTGTGTCAGTTCTTGAATGCACTGCAACGCTACTACCATCAGTTACTCCAGCAGGGGAGCCCCCACTGGAGTGGAGGCAGCCAGGGCTTTCGCACAGGGGCGCCAGAAACGTGTGTGCGGCGGCACGGCAGGGTAGGGTGCAGGGAAGGGCAGGGTTTGCTGCTGGGCTGTGCACTGGTCACGCTGCAGATCTCATGAATCTGCTGAAGCTAAGGGGTATTGGCCCTGCTGCTGGCTGCTCGGCAACAACAATGTGGCGCCGCTTGCTGGCTTGGTGCCGCCGCCTCGCTGGCAGGCGGCAGACGCCAACTCAGTGCGCGGCAGACGCCAACTCAGCGAGCGCTGCTGGATTTCCACTTTGCAGAGCCCTCCTTGCCGCCATGCGTTGCACCGTAGCGGCATGCCAGCTGCAGCTGCCCCGCTTGGGGGATTGGTTGTCGTTGCGAGCCCCAGGCTTTGCAAGGCTATCCGCTGATGATGGGCATTCCTCCGGCTTGCAATTGATAATCGACAGGCGGAGCGGTGGCGATAGCGCGGCCTGACCTGCCAAGCTGCCGCCGCTCCCGCCGCCGCCCGCCACGTTGGTTCAGCACCCGCGGCTGCCCCGGGTGGGATGGGAGTGGATGGGTGCAGCGCATGTGGCGCAGCGTGGCCCAGGCGCAGATGAGCTCGCACTCCACGGCAGGAGCCGGCGGCTGCCAGCGCGCTTGTCTCGCACCTGTCTTCCTACCTGTCGTCACTGACGGTGTGGGGCATGCGTCTCCTACCGCCTGCCCTGCCGCATGCTGCTCCTGCTGTTGCTGCGGCTCGAGCAGCTGCTGCGGTGGCTATCCGCCCGTCTTTGGAAGCAGCCCTTGAGCGTGGCTTTGCCTGCTGCCCTGCCAGCGCAGGGTGGCGCTGCGGAAATCAGTGCCGCCAACCTCAGGAGATGGCAACAGCAGCGGCCGGCCTGCTGCCGCTGGGCGGAGAAGCGCCTTGAGTTGCGTCGGCAGCACGCACCCACCTGGCTGCTGACAGCAGGCAGGCAGCCTGACAGCAGGCTGCAGCCTTCTGGGCTGGGGCATCACCTCACCTGCCACCCGCAGCAGAAGGAGACAAGTGGGCGGAGCAGCAGATGCACACCTGACGCCCGGCCAGCCCGTACAGGGTGGGGTAGCGCAGCGGGTAGCCCACGGCTCTGTGGTCCATCGGGAAGCTTTCCTCACAGGCCAGGCAGGCGGCCTTGGATGCCTCAGGTGGATGTTCCTTTGGGTGCATGCCCCACCCGCTCCCTCGCCTGCCCGCTCACGTGCATGCCTGCACTGCGGCCGATCAGTGCGCCGCCACCGACCTGCCTTGCCCGCAGGTGCTCCCCGCCAGCCTGCCCTGTCCACCCGGCAGCTGCTGCCGGCGCGGCTGGGTGGCATGTGGGCAGCAGATGGTGCCCTGCCCCATGTGACTCCTGCACCTGTTTTGGGTCGCCCTGAGCATGACAGCGCCATGGTGTGTGGCGGGGCCAGTGACGGCGGGGCCGCGGCCGCGCTTGACCTGCAGTGCCGCCGTGTTTGCATGGCCTGCTGCGGTCGCCTGCGTCAGTGCGAAATGGCCAGTCAGCTGGTGCAGGCGCCAGGGCATCTGCCTCCCCCATTCCCCCAGGTGGCCGCTGTCGAGGTGCGTGCGGTCGGCACTGTCATGTGGGCTGGCGGCGCTGCTGGTGCCCACGCCAGCCCAGCTTGGGTCCAACCACGATGCCTGCGGCGTCTTCAGCAGTCATGTGCGTTTGAGAGCCTGGCGGGTGCCTGGGTGGAGTGTTGGAAGAGGAACTGCTTGAGGCGCGGCGAGGGGGCAGTAGGCTTGCGCCCGGTGCGGCGCCGGCACCCGGGCCGTCCCGTGGCGGGGGGGGTGTAAGCCTGCAGCTGCAGCAGGCTCCTGACTAGTGCAAGTATGGACACATTGATGCATCCCAGTGCCCTTGATGGGACAAACCCCATAGAAGCGAACGCCGAGGCTTCGCATCTAGCAACCCCTTTTGGCCTTGGGTCCCCTGAACCGTCCCCCAACGCGTTGCAACGTACACTGTGGGTCAACTTTCCTCGCTCTGCGCCCATATAAACAGCCAATTGCTGTTCCTTGGCACCTATTTTTCTCCATCTGGCACCCGCCTCCGCTGCCTCCCTGCCCGCCCCAACCACGTGGGTGCACCCGGCAGTCACGATGGTCAGGCTCACGATGGCAGCGTTGGCCCTACTGCTGGTCTGCGCGTCTTTTGCAAGTGAGTGGGTGAACTCTGCCACCGCGGCAGCCGGGGGAAGGCGGCGGCATTGCTGCCGCCAGAGAGAGGCATGTGCCAGATGGCCGCCGCATGCCGCCCGCGCGCATGCCTTCTGACCCCTGCCTGGCGCGCCGCCCCCTGCCGCCTGCAGCTGCTGCTCCCACCTTCAATGGCAACGGGCTGGGCAGGATGCTGCTGGGTGAGTGCCAGTGTGGCGGCGTGCGGGATGGCTGAATGGCCGCGCCGCCGCCGGCCCTCGCCAGCTGGCCAGGCCGTAACCAAGGCAGCCGCTTGCTTGCGTGCTTGCTTTCGGAGGCGTACTGTCAGCAATTACAGGCGTGCAGCGCAGTGGCCAGCACAGCTGCTCGCAGGCCAGCTGCAGGCTGGCCTCCTGCGCCCCGCTCCCCCGCCTGCCCACCCCTCTGTTGAGCCACCGCTGACCCGCCTCCCCTTGCCTGCCCTGCCACGGCCCCTGCCCTGCCCGCAGCTCCCGCCTGCCAGTTCTCCTCCGCCAGCAACTGCGTCAAGTGCGCCGGCAAGATGCTGAACGCCACCACCTCCACCTACACCGTCGTCATCGACGTCAGCTCCTGCAAGGGCGCAGCCGTCAGCTGGGTGTGCTGCCGCGACGCGGGCTGCACCGTGGACGCCTGCGGCGGCGGCGGCGCCACGAAGGAGGCCGCCACCGACAAGTGCAACGAGGCCACCTCAGCCAACTACACCGTCCCCTACACCGCCACCTCCATCAACCTCCAGCTCCACGACGGCGCCAACGCCGGCAACGTAGTTTGCTCGGGCAGCCCCTCCAAGACCGGCGCCGGCACCTGCTGCGGCGGCGCCGGCGGCGGCTGCGACGCGCCCCTCCACGTCTCCGCCTACACCATCGCCCTCTCCTCCTGCCCCGACATCCGCGGCCCGCCCGTCAGCAACCCGCCCGAGTGCCAGGTGGATGCCGACTGCGCTGGCAGGACCGCCCTCAACGCGGGCTGCGGCACGGCCGCCTGCAACACCACCAGCGGCAACTGCTACAGCAACCCCGCGCCCAAGGCTGGCAACACGTGCCGCGCCTCCGCCGGTACGTGCTGCCGCTGCTGCTGGGAGCTCCTGCTGCCGGGCACTGGGCATGCATTGGGGGTTTTCTAGCACCTGCCTGCCTCACAGCCCAAAAGCGACGGGTCAAGAGATTGGGCGGCCAAATGGCTGGCTGGCGGGATGTCTTATGCCTTGCGCGCCATGCATCTGCTCCAACCCGCAGGCGCGTGTGACGAGCCCGAAACGTGTGATGGGCTTTCTCTCACCTGCCCTGAGGACGAGTTCAAGCCTGCCACCCACACCTGCCGCGCCTCGGCTGGCGTTTGCGACGAGCCTGAGATGTGCACCGGCAGCACGGCTGCCTGCCCTGAGGACCAGTTCAAGCCTGCCACCACCGAGTGCCGCGCCTCGGCTGGCATTTGCGATGAGCCTGAGACCTGCACCGGCAGCACTGCTGCCTGCCCTGAGGACCAGTTCAAGCCTGCCACCACCGAGTGCCGCGCCTCGGCTGGCATTTGCGATGAGCCTGAGACCTGCCCCGGCAACGCAGCTGCCTGCCCTGAGGACGAGTTCAAGCCCGCCACCCACACCTGCCGTGCCGCCACCGACAAGTGGTGCGTATGGGGCCCGCGCCCCGCCTGCACAGCCATGCCGCCAGCGGGATGCCTGTTGCCGCACACGGTCGCCATTGTGCCTTACCCATTCCTTGCCTTCCTTCCGCTGCCTGCAGCGATAAGCCCGAGCTGTGCACAGGCTCTTCTGTCAGCTGCCCCGCCGATGAGGTGCTGCGCGACCGCGCCAAGGGCTTCAAGTGCGGCAAGACCTGCTTCTTCTGCGGCATTCCCGAGGACCTGAGCTACCAGCAGAAGCTCATGGACCTCACCAAGCCCACCAAGACCACCACCGGCCTGGGCTCCTGCAACATGGGCGCCTGCGAGGACTTCATCTTCTTGCCGGCAAGCAGCCCCTACTGCACCGGCTGCGTCGACAACAAGCTGTGCCCTCCCAACTCTGCCGGCAAGCGCCAGGCGCTGAGCAACATCGAGCACGCGGTGTGCAACGGCGACACGGGCACCTGGAACTGCGTGAACAAGCAGGAGAGCCCCTTTGCCGGCCCCGTCTGCCCGCCGTGGTAGGGCGCCCGCTGGCCTCCCAACTTTACCGCCACGCACATACCTGTCTATTGATCTCTCGCAGCCCCAAATGCCTTTCCTAATCAGCCATCCAAGTCCTTGAGAAACCTTCCACATCTTCTTTCCTGTTTTTGTCCTGAAATCCCCTTGCCAATACAATTAGCCCAGCTGCCGTCTGCCACACTTCCATGACTGCGCCCGCGCATGCCCCTCTGCCTTCTGGCGCCCTCCTGCCATCTCCGGGAGGGCGCGCAATTCGTGCGGGACTGTACTCATTGACTGATATCTGCTCCCTATATTTGTTTTATGGCAGAGTTCCCATTTTAAGTGACTCTATCCCTCTGCTGCTCCGAGGGGCGGGTCAGGTTAATGCGGCAATCTGCTGGGAAGTGGGCATCCGGTGCTCAGGAAGCCTCTGCAGGCGGTGGTCGAACCAGCAGGTGCCAACACGGCGCCCCACGTGTTCTGTCAAGTTTGATAGGAGGGTGGGGGGACACGGTCCATCCAGCGGTGGGTGTACATGCTGCTGCTCAGGCCTTCGAGGGCGGCGGCCGGCGGCGCCAGGTGGCCGCCACCAAGGCATGCGCGCAGGCTCTCTGAATTTTGCTGCCGAGTTTTGCGCAGCGGTTGCAGAAGCACACCGAAGCGCTGGGCTGCAACGAGTCTTTGGCGCCCCTGTCTGATCGCGGGGCGGGCAAGACGGCAGGGCGATCGTAGCGGGAGTGATGAGGGAGCGGAGACGAGCGATTTGAATGGCGACATGAACAATTACCAGTGAGCTGCGGGTGTCGCTGTTTGGGCGGGGGGCGGGCAGCGCCCGACCGTAAACCAGCAGCTGCAGCATGTACCATCCCCACATCGGCAGGGAGGAGGCGCTGCGAGCGCCGCGCACCCGACCCCGCCGCCGCCGCTGCCGGGCCGCCCTCGCGTCCCGCGCCGCCCGCACGCATTTGCTCCCTTCGCCCACCCTCGCGCCTCCCGTGCCGCAGCATCCACGAGATCATCGGGCGGGGGCGGCAGAGCAAGGTGTACAAGGCGCGGCTGAAGCAGAGCCTGGAGTATGTGGTGGTGAAGGCGTGCAGCAAGGACCTGAAGCCGCGGGTGCTGCAGGAGGTGGGTGCCGGCAGCGGCGGCGGCGGCGGCGGCGGCGGCATGCGTGGGGCAGCCTCAGCGCCCACCCCTGTCCGGCCCGTGGTGGAGTCGCTGCAGAGCAGCAGCCTGGGGGTGGCTGGCAGCAGGCGCAGGGCTGGGCGGGAGCAGGCGTGGGCGGCTGAGGCCCCAGCGGGGGTGTGTGTGCGGGTTCTTCTGCCCACAGTGCAGTCGGGCAACTGCGGCTGGCTGCCTGGCTGGCCTGCCTGTGCCTGCAGGTCAAGGTGCTGAACAGCCTGGCCCACCCCAACCTGCTGCGCTTCCACACGTGGTGCGCCGCCGGGCGCCACTAAAGCCGCAGCAAGGCTTGAGCATCTCATTTGCCGCAGCCGCCCGCCGCCGCGCTTCCCTGGCCGCCGCTGCCGCGCCACGTCGTGTGCCCGCTGCCGCACTGCGCTTCCCTGCTCCGCCCCGTGCGCTGTGCCCCTCCTGTGCGTATATGTACCGCTGCCGTACCGCCGGTACCGCCGCAGGTACGAGACCCAGAACCACCTGTGGGTGATACTGGAGTACTGCGTGGGCGGCGACCTGCTGTCTCTGCTGCGCTCAGACGGCCGCCTGCCAGAGGCATCAGGTGCGCCCTGCCTGGGCGGCGGGCGCAGCGCGCAGGCGCCGCGGGTGCAGTGGGGAGGCGCCGCGGGCGGCGGGCGGCGCCGTCGCGCCGGGCTGGCGGCGGCGGGCGGGGAAGCTCGGCGCGCCGGACCGCAGCGGCTGTGCTGCAGCCCCGCTGTCACGGCTGGCCAGCCAGCCTGCCTGCCTGCCTGCCTGCTCCCCTGCCCGCCAAGCCCCGCCCTGGCCCCACCCTGGCGCCACCCCGACCCTGAACCCTAACCCCTGCCCGCAGTGCTGCGCCTGGGTCGCGACCTGTCGGCGGCGCTGCAGCACCTGCACACCCGCGGCATCCTGCACTGCGACCTCAAGCCCTCCAACATCCTGTTGGACGGTGAGGGAGGCAGGGGCGTGTGTGTGGGAGGGTGACGGCGGCGGCTGGGCCGGGCAGGGCCTGCAGCATCTCTGCCTGCACACACAGGGCAGAGTGATTGTCGCACGCAGCGTCTCTGCCACAGGGGGCGTTCGGGAGGGCCTGCGCACACAGGGCGTGTGGTCGGCACTGGGTGTGCCTCCTCTGGATTGTTGAGAGGGAGGCCAGGGCGGTGTCGGCCGGCGGCGACGGATGCCGCCGTCGAGGCGGGCAGGAGGCGGTGGCGGCTGGCGAGGGGGCAGGCCCGGGGCGCCGGCGCCAGGCAGCTGCGTGTGTCCGGCGCCGGCGAGTGGGCGGGCTGGTGGGTGGGCCGCGAGGCTCACTGTTCCACCCATGCTGCAGCTCTGGGGCGGCACCCCACCCCCCCACCCCACACACACATACGCCTGGCCTGGCCTGCAGAGAACGGGCGGGTGCGGCTGGGGGGGCTGGGCATCTCGCGGCGATCCGAGGTGGTGCAGCGCCAGCTGGCCACGCTGCCCAACGGGCTTCGCGAGATGCAGCAGGTGCGGCGGCGGCGGCGGCTGCTGTTGCTGCCGCGGCGGCGGCTGCGGCGGCTGCAGCAGGGCACCTGGCTCAGCAGGCGCACCGCAGCCGCCCACGCCTGTTTGGTTTGGCTGCCCAGGCCCCGCCGGCACGCTGCGTGCCTGCCCGCGCCCCGCTGCGGATTGGGCTGCAGGGGGCAAGCCCTCCAGGGGACGCACACCTGATGCTGCTGCCGCTGCTCCCCTTCTCCCCCTCTGCGCCACCGCGCCTGTGCAGGGCTCGCCTTACTACCTGGCCCCCGAGGCGGTACGCACCCCTGGCTTCTACACCACAGGTGCGGCAGGGGCCTGCGGCGGGGCTTGTGCCCGCCCGCCTGCCTGCCGCCTGCCTTTCCACACCCACGTCCACCTGCCCATTCGCTGCCTGCCCCCTGCTCCTCCCCTCCGCCGATGCCCACCTGCCTCCCCTCACCCCTGCTCACCCCCTGCCTGCCTCCCTGCCCCCTGCCTGCCCTCACCCCCACCCCCCCGCAGCCTCCGACCTGTGGGCCCTCGGTTGCATCCTGTACGAGTGCGCCAGCGGGCGGCCGCCCTTTGCCGCCGCCACCACCCAGCAGCTGAACGCGCTCATACTGGGCCACCACCCGCAGCTGCCCACGGGTGCGCGGCGCGATGGGGTGTGGGGCGCCCGTGTGATGTGTGGTGGGGGCTGCGGTTGCTGCCCGGTGATGCTTGGGTGCGGCTGCATCCACATTCTGGGATGTGCAGTGCGCCCGCTATTCGGCCTTGCGTCCTGCTGTGTTCCTGATTTTTTCTTTCTTCCATTCTTTCTTCCTTTCTTCCTTTCTTTTCTTCCCGGCAGGCCTCAGCCCGGAGCTGGAGGGCCTGATCGAGCGGCTGCTGGACAAGGACCCGCTGTCCCGCTGCACGTGAGTGTACCGCATGTGTGTACAGCGTGCAGTATCATTCACCCCACGAACGCCACGGCGTCACGCCATGCCGCACTGCGGGCGCCCGAACCCTCCTTCCCAAACTTCCTACTCTCCCTCTCGCCTGCACCCTTTTTTTCCTCCTGTCTTCCCTGCTTGCCGCAGGTGGCCAGAGCTGTGCGGTCACCCGTTCTGGGGTGCATCGCCGCCGTCCCTGCAGCCCCTGCCCGACGATCCCGTCCTCCTCAAGCTGCTGGAAGAGAGGGGCGGCGGCGGTGACCTTGGCGGCGGCGGCGGCGGCGGCCGCCGCGGCGCGCTGGCCGCCCGCCACCGCGCCAGCGGCAGCGGCAGCAGCCTGGGCGGGGAGGGCGAGTTTGCGGCAAACGGGGTCGGGACGGGCGGCGCCCAGGACACAGCGCACTCCAACGGCGGCAGCGGCGGCAGCGGCAGGCTGGGCAGCGCTTCTGGCAGCGCCAGCGCCAGCGCCAGCGCCAGCGGGGAGTACCGCGGCGGTGGTGGGGCGGGCCTGTATGAAGGGGACTCTCCCTTGCGGGGCGGCGGCGCCAGCGGGGATTACTCTGCCTCAGCAGCCATGGGGCAACAGGCCGCGGCCGCCGCCGCCGCCGCCATGGCCGCCACGGCCGCCGCCGCCGCCGCCGCC